AGAGAGAGAGAGAGAGAGAGAGAGAGAGAGGGATTTCAAATAAGGATGAGGATAAGAGTATGTTCAAGACCCAAAAATTTTGAACAGGAAAAAGAAAAACGATACCAATTATCTACAACTACAAAATACAGAGTAAAATATCTAAGACTATGCTTCTCATAGTACATACATATGCTTTCATACATGTTCTTAAGCTTTCTATAAACCAAACGTTTTTCAATGGAAAGGATGCTCCGGTCCATTGACTCCTGATAAACATGGCCTATAAATGATGTAACTACTTCCTTTAGGAGTAAATTAAGTAAATCAGGCTCCTACAATAATGTCAACAGTGAGTGAGATCAGTAACAAGATCACGCATCTCAATCGAGAATTTCATATTCAACTCAAGGGGAGTATTCAATGTGATTAGCTACAACCCAAACATTTACATGCTTCGCAGAGATCTTCTATTGTACACTTGGTGTGCCGAGCAAATATAAATATCATCGACATTCCACTCATCATAGACGAATCGGTTCCTATTAATGCACACCACACTCCTCATCCACAAAAACACAAGCACTAACCAAACCAGCACAAGAATATATGACTAAATTCACGACAAGGGGGAAATATAACCTGCAAATCCTCATTAACCATGAATCTTGCACGTCACAGAAGTAAGAGGACGATCGCAAGATGGTCTCTCACTCCAACAAATTGGTAACAAAATCTCCAAATATAATCAAAATTCATCACAATTTTACATTTCATATTAACTAGAGAAGCTACAAATCACAAACCCAAAAACATACCAGGTTCAACGTTGAAGAAGGAAGAGGATCAGAAAACCCTCAAAAGAAGGAAGAGGATCAGAAAACCATCAAAGAGTTAGGCCTTTGATACCACTATGAAGAAGATTAAGAAAGAGTTAGGCCTTTGATACCACTATGAAGAAGATTGAGAAAAAATAATTATGGTTGAATTGAGTCCACATGATCATATTTAAAAGGGATTAATACAAAAAGTGGAAACACAAAAGAAAAACATAATAAAACACCCACCAATAATTGTACCCACACATAAATGACTCTGAAATACTACCTTTAAAAGGAAAAGTAAAGAAAAAAAGGGACACCTAAACAGCAAATCGGACTCAAACTTCACCAATCCAGAGAATGGAGAAATTTCTTGGGTAAAAGTATACTGATCCACTTCTTCTGCAAAAAAAAAAACCCACTATTTTTTACAGTGTTCAGTCACCTTACTATCCCTTATCTCTTTTGACAAATCATCTATTTTTTTTCAATCAATTTACAAGTAAAAACAACGGTCCCTGAAGGCCCCTGATTATTTATGAATCATACATAGTTGTCTCACTCCTCTTTCCAAAAACAGCAGCCCAAATATACATACAATCAATAAAATGTCGTAATCTAAACTTCTAAACATTCACTTATTAATATCTACATATCGTTTAGCAGAACAACACAAATAATTCACAAAGCACATAAGAGAGAGAGAGAGAGAGAGAGAGAGAAAGAGACTTGCACTCGAAAGTGTGAAAAATGAAGAGAGAGAAAGAAAGAGGAGGCAAACTCTTACAGTCCCAAGTGGAAAATTGATTCCAGGCCCCTGTGAGTCTTTGACTTGGAAGAAAGGTACTGGAGATCGGTCCAAAACACTTAGGTGTGCCTTAAAGGGTGGCAGATCATGTACTATTAATTATGTCAAAAGATATTCTACTCCTGCAGGAGTAAAATGTTCATTTACTCCCTCGGGTAAAACCCCTCTCGGATTCAATTTTAGGACCCCAAATTCTGGCCATAAACTTATTCAACTTATAGATTAACCTCAATAAAAAAAAAAAAATCCCTTAATTGTAATGTCTATACAATTGAAAAGAACAATATTTCAAGATTGAATAGAAGCCATCCCATTTATTATTGATGGTAAGATCTAGGCCTTAGAAAACACAAATTTTTCCTTTGAGAATAATATCTACTAATATTAAGTGGTTCCCAAAAATTTTAGATTGAAAATAGAAGTAAATTATGCTCCTGTGCTCTATTATAATTTCATAGACATGTTATGCTGGGGCATTCCACACACTCACACAAAAACATCGTTTCTATTTGCCTTCTTTTTTCTCTTTGTGAGACTTTGTTCTTTTATTGTGTCGTTTGTACAGAGCCAAGGCTCTAAACAATCAAAGTAAAGAACCCTCAAAGTAAAGCGCACCTTTAGTTAGTGTCAAGAATGTGATTTCAATACAAGAAATTTTGGGATAGCATTAAAATATATTTTCATATCTATTTATAAAATTTAAAGTTTCAAAAATAGTGTAGATCGAACAGATCTATAAAAATTTGGAAATCTTGAAAATTGATGGTCCAAAAGTATATTACAAGATGACCTATTTCTAAAACATGAAATCCATTTTTTTCTCATGTTCATGTATATTGAGTTCAATATGATCAATTTGAGGATATTTGAGCATCAAAACAACCTCTTCTAGTGAAATTTTTGAGATACTCCCCTATTTGATTGTTTAGAGCCTGGCATTTATATAAACTTTTTATCCGTGTGTGAAAGGGATCTGTACGCTAGTCTCTCTGCACGTGATACTCGTTGCCCTTTGGGTGAGTTGTTTAAGTTTGGACCATAAGTGGCTCTCCCTAAATTGGGTCCAACTAAGTGTCTTAAAACCCGATAATCTAGATCAAGTACTGTCAATCTAGACTAGAAACTAACTAGATTGAACTGGTTCTAGATCACCGATTTTAATCAGCAATCCCTATAGTCCAATACGGATCTATGTGGTGGGTGATCCATCCACCGCTCTTGAGCTTAAAACACTGTTCCAACCAATAGATTGGACAATAGTGATAAGCCCATTAGTTATGGATATCATAGATCATATTATATGCCTTCCTCTCTAACTCCTACTCTAGATGGTCCATTTGTTGACGACAATCTATACTTTTTAATTTGAGAATTCATCCCACGGTGATTCCAAGATGTGTATGCAAAATTTCAAACCCTAAATGTCCGCAACATTTCTATTTTCTAATTTGGGAATTCATCACAAGGTGATTCAAGATGTATTTGTAAAATTTCAAACCCTAAATATGCTCATAACATTTCTATTCGTGAGCTTGCCAACATTGTAGAAATGTAGGAGTCCGTCCATAAATAATTTTCCGTTGTACTTGTTTATAAGTTTTTGAAAAAGTATCAATTAAGGGGTTGAAACCCCTTACACTTTGTCCGCGCTAGTGGAATTACTGTTACGCTTATCATATTGGCATGTCCATGAATGAAGTTTGAAACAATGTTTATCAAATTCACTTTGTTTCAGAGGTCAAAGCTTTTAGATTTTAGGCCTAGATCGAAGGACAGCGAAGCTTGATGTTGCCACTTCGGCTTAAGCAAAGAAATGCTTATATAAAAGTATTTTTTATTTTTATAAAATTTTTATTTTATATTTTATAGTTTTTATATATAAATATCTAATTTATTATATTAATTTTTTTAAAAAAAATACAAAGTCTTCACTCAAATCAACCAAAACATGAAATTGCTTCATCTTTCTCACCAAACTTAATAGTAGGAATTGAACCTGAAATGTAACGTTACCAACTGCTAATCAATCAAGACCAAGCACGAAACAATAACTCTAAAGGAGAAACATGTTCCCAATTTAGAGCCGTTACAATGAAAAGAAGGGGAATTTAGTTTATTTGTTCAAGGGACTTAGTACATCGTCATCAAAATGCATTCACTTGGCATGGTAATTTGGATTTTTCAACAAAGTTTTTTAAATTGTTAAAGGAGGCACCAAGTGAAAGGCGCTATCCACTTTGTTGGTAAGACAGAGTTAACCTTGATTTCACTATCCACTTTGTTTGTAAGACGGATTTAAAGGTTTGGCATTTTATTGATATTTTATCATTTTTTATGACTTTTATTAGATATTTTGGATAGTCACCAAAATGGTTGTTTGGATGTACTCATTGTCATGTCACGATAGTTTATTATTTTAAGGGAAATTTATAAGAATGCACATTATTTTTAGCATTTTTCATTGTTCTACTATTCCAATTGAAAATTCATGTGTATTTTTATGGTGTTTTGAAATTAAATCAAATCAGATGGATAAAATGTTTAATAGTTAATATATTGTGTGCATTTTGACGAATTTTCCCCATTTCAAATAGATTATTCCTAATATTGAATTACCTATTGTTTTGGCAGTGTCCATAATAAAATTTTCCCCATTTCAAATAGATTATTCCTAATATTGAATTACCTATTGTTTTGGCAGTGTCCATCATAAAATTATCTAAGATAAACTTGCAAGCCATTTTATATATAAAGTTTATATTTTTTAAAGGACACGGTTTCTAAATCCCATAGCGGATCAATTCCAACGAGCCCTTCAAACTAGTACTTTTTGTAATCGACTCTATTGATTCTTCAATAAATACTCGCTCTTTGATCAAGTTTGTGATTACTTTCTAGTAAGAATTATCTAAGATAAACTTGAAAGCCATTTTACATATAAAGCTTATATTTTTTAAAGGACACAGTTTCTATAAGTCCATGTAGAAATGAGACGACCCTTAAAAATCTATTTTTGAGATGGACTTTTTAATCCAATTTTTAAGAACATGTAATATCTAACATGGACATCATGAATATAAAAAGCCAAATAAATTTTAAGAAATAAAAATAATGATTTTATGAAGAAAACATTTGGACCGTTAGTTTCAATTGTTTTTAAATGGACAACCTATTTGCAACTATCTTTAAGATGGATGCTTTATATCTTGGGACTGCATATTGTGGAAATACAGTCCAAGCCGCATGAACAATTTTCCATTTTTAAAAGCCTTTATTCACTTATTCAAAGTAGATTTCTTAAAGAAATCACGTGTTTTTACCCATAAATAACTGAAAAATAATTAGAAAGTCAAATTATTAAATTATATTATATATACTATAAGGTATGTATCAAAAAGCTAAGACATTTTATTAGAATAGTATGTTAATTTCATATAAGATGTTCTACTATCGTCTGTACAAGTTCCAAAGCTAATGAATTACAGCCCTATTTATTGAAATTGAGCTGCAGCTATCTGGACCGTCCATATATTTGATGGTGAAGATCTTTCTCTATTCCCTGTGAGGGAAACCGGGGCTTCCAATGCCCCCAGTTGCCTCTTTTTCATTTCTATGAACATATTTATTAGAGTATGTATATCTATATTGATATACATTATTATGAATACATATTGAGATATGGATATGTATAAGTATACATCTCTTAGGTTCCTCTTTATTATAATAAAATTAGTTAGTAGTTATCCATAACCGTTGGTATTTATCTTTAAATGTTAAAGACCGTATATTTATACGGGTCTTGTATATTTTTTATTAATCAATAAAAAAAGAGTTCTATGGGGTCCTAAGGCCCAAATATACAGAAATACATTTATGTATCTATAAATTTACATATCTCATTATGTATTCATAATGATGTATATCAATATAGATATACATACTCTAATAATGCACCTCTGAGCCATGTTCAGGCTCGTCACTTGATTCATCAAGATGAGGCTTCCTAACATCAATAGAATTTGAGAGGCCAGAATCTATCTCTTGAGCCTGTGGGATAGGGTTTTGATCCTCTTCGTTGGGAGCTTCAGAATCACCTTCGTTTTCAGTGGCATGTTTAGGCATAGAAACCCCATTTGTTATAATTTCAGGAGCCTCTATATCATCAATCTTCCTCTTTTT